TATTCTTCCTCAAACAAAAATCTTTTAGCCACAAATATTTGCAGAGGAAAAAATAAAACCAATGATAACTCAATTGATGTAATAGACGGAAATATCATTTAATATCATCAAAAGTTAATTTTAGATATCCAAATATTAAATTTAAACACTTATTACTACTTTAAAATATTTAAAATCTTTATTTATCTTCGCAAAGTTATCAATTTGATGATAGAGGTTTTAAATTTGTTCTCCATCGTGGTAAGAGTTATAATAAGAGAAATTATTTTTAAGAAGTTTGATTGCATTAAGATAACTAAAATAGAATAACATATATTTTTATTTTAACAGGGAAGAGTATAATTTTCAAAAGAGAGTTAAGATTCTTTTCATTTTTTTCTCTTCAATTTTATTTTGTTATTTTCTTCGTCTAACAAATAGAATTATTACAATACAATTTTATTTTAAAATTATTAACATTTTAAAAAATTTTAATGGCTTCAATATTTTTAGAAAAAGGCCCTAATCCTTCATTATAGATGACTTCAAACAGCTCTAAAAATGGCTTTTATTGCTGTATTTTTCTACTGTTTTGGCTTTTATTGTCATGTTTTAAATGCCTGCAGGGTCATTTTTGCCATTGCATCGTGATTCTACTGCCCTGTCATTGTCTTTGTTTTTTCCTTTGGGTCTTTACTATCTCCAATTAAATAAATTTTGACCTAAATAATTCTTCTTGAAGTTCTTAAATGACTCCGTTAGAAAAACTTAAAAATTAATTTTGTTTTTCATAAAAAAAGAAAGGAGTACCAAACATAGACAAATCTAAGCTACCTTTATTGTTAATAAGCAAGTGACACATTTAATTTTATTTAAAGTAATATTTTAAATTCGTATTTTATATTTAGTTTTTTCATTAAAGAGCTAAATTCATCATATCATAACTATTTTTAATTATAATAAATTTACTCCTTAAAAAATACTTGTAATTTAACTAAAACAAAACTTACACCTTCATAGACCAAAGAAAAATTTACAGTAATTATTTCTCTTTTATTTTTTTTTCTTTTTCTTCGTAACTTCTTTGTCACTCTTCCCTCAAACTTGAACAATACTACATATACATTTTTCACAAAAGTTACTTCACATTAATACAGATGTTGTCATCATGTTATTAAAATAGAATCCGTCTTATTTGTTTAATACGCGCGTATCTTTTATTCAATCACCTATAAAGGTGAGAGTGAACGTGATGTGTAATTAATATCTTTTGCTAGAATTTATATTTTTAACAATTATTATAAGCTTAGGTTCTTAATTGACATAAAAAATAAAAAATAAAAAAATAAAGTAAATTTTTTTTTTTAACAATTAGATAATATGTATAAGTTATACATATTTAATTTATCTTAAATAATGTCTTAAATTCGAATATTATACATAAAAAATTATTTAAAAAAAAACAACTATCACTATGTGTGAATATTGATAACTCAAATATAATTACCTTATGTGTGAAAGATATGTATGATCCAAAACAAAAGCATGTCAAAGATGTTGCGCAATGATATTTAACGCTAAATGACATAAAAAGTTTAAATTATTGGTAAACATCACAAAATTTATTTCAAAGAAAATTAATTAATATTTGAAAAAATTACTAAAATTATTTTAATAAAAATTAATAACTTATTAAACAGAAATAACTATTTTTTAGTCTAGACGAAAGAAATAACTATTTATTAAGTAATAGTCATTCGTGATTTTTTTTCTAACTCTACATATTTTTAATAATTAAATAGGTCTTTAATTGTTATTGTAAATGACCTTTCAATAATAAACAATAATCATTTATAACTTTTTTTTTTTCAACTTACATATCTAATACATAATTTTGTTTACAGCCATTAATCGTTTCTGCGTTATTTGAAAATGGAGAAAAAGTTGAGAAAATAAAATTAATAGTAGAAAAAAAATATAAGACGAAGGAATGCTATTTTAATATTTAGAAGAAGCAAAAAAAAAAAAAAAAATTTGGAATTTCTTCCTTTTGTCTGATTCGGAAGAAGAGTGATATAAAATTTTTAAAATATAAAAAATATTAAATAACATGTATCACAAAAAGAATAATAGTTTATAATAAGAGACACACCCAGACATTCAAAATTTGAATGAAAGTTAATTTCTTTTTAGTCCAAAGTGAAGTAGATCGATCCTGAAGTATCTCTAAATGTAAAAGGTATAAGAGTAGTTTTTATTCACAGTTCAAAATGAAAGTTAATGTGATACTCCTTTGTAAATGAATTTTGTTGATCTTTCTTTATAATGTGAACTTTGTATACGTTCTCGTGATTGAATATTCCTCTTTCCAGGATCGAGACGTTAATATCCCCCCAAAGAAAAAAAATCTTGTCCCATTAATCTTGTGAAGATTGGAGAAAGTCAGAAACCACGTTCACAATATTGTTCTAAAATTCGAAACATGATGGTTGAGTGTTACATTAATCAAGTATCCTTATATTGAATTAAAGACAAACAAAGATATGAAAATAGCGAGTAAAAGGTCAATTTCTTGTCACTTTTTCCCTGAAAATTACAAATAGAAAGTGACGAAAATCCCATCGTTGTTAATTTTCCATGAAAGTTTTAGTTGAGCCATGTTTGTTATGTGAATATTACAGGCCCGACGAAAAAGGGAAAGAGCCTTCAGGTCGTGTGGTTGATTCTTGAACAACGTTATGCCACCAAAGTAGCATAATATCCTTCTTAATAGGTTTAAGTCAGATAATCAACGATAATTGTCAGTAACAATGTTTTATATGTAAGATTCTTCAATAGATCAAACGTAACATCATTGCATTGCAGCACGAAATGACTATAACAAAATAGTTAATGACGTGCAAAATTTGACTTTAGTGGAAGTCATCATTCAGCATTAGATTAGCTATTTCATGGACAGAATATATATGCAACTAGAATTCGATTTTTCTTCTGCTTTTACAAACGGCCTTTGCTTAATTGGGTCTCGACCAACACGAAATTAATAGCACATTGGTTTGTGTTAATATTTTAAGAATTTTTTAATTAAAATATTTTCATAAAAAAGTATTTATATTTTTTTCAAATGTTATAAATATTTTTTAAAAATAAAATTATTTATTTTTTGGAAACTATCTGTATTAAAAAATTACATCTTAATTAAATGTTTGATCATTAATTTTTATATATATAAAGGCTTATTATACAAATTTAACCACAAAATAAGCTATACTTTTGAAATAAGTTTTATAAAATTTTTGAAATTTTTAAATTATTTTCATAAAAATGCTCCCTTTATTCTATATCCTAAGTTTTAATTTTAATTTTTAAAATTTATAAATATTAATTATCTTAAATCCCTAATTTTACAAAAGTTTTATTTTAATCTATGACTTTATAGAAAAAGGTCATTTGCTCAGTTATTATTTTACTTTATTTATATATGTATTGTTATTATTTTTATAAAAATATTAAAATAAATAGTTTAATAAAATTCAGAACTAAAATAAAAAAAATATAAATTTAGATAAAATATCTGAAATTAATAATCTTAAAGATTATGATGAGAATGTACTTTTTTATATATATGTATATATAAATGCACCTAATATTGGGAAAAATCTTATTGGGCCATAGGTTTAAGTATTTTTTATACGTACACTAAGAGTTTTGTCTCCCGATAAATATGAAATGATGATTAATATGATGAAGAATTCAGAGATATGTTGGACATTGTTTGGAGGATTTAGATGTAAGTATAATTAACAAATAAATTTGAGGTGATTAGGTTGAAATAAAAAGTCATAAATTTAAATTTTTATAAATCAGCCAATGACATTAAGAAGCTGATTAATATAGGCACTAATAGAGTCAAAGTAGGCCATGCAATGGGAAAGGAAGAAGAGTTGGCACAACCCTCAAAAGTTTCCTTAAGAATTGTTTTAACGCCTTAAAGTAACCTTTGACTTCTGAAATTGAAATTCCTAAACTTGGTTAATTGAAAACAAATATGTATCAGTGTAATAAAACATGTCTATGAAAAGAAATAAGCAATGGGGTGATTCAACTTTAAAAAACTCTGCCATGTACGAAAAGAATATGGAACTCCCCATTACTGCAAATGAAATGAATTTATACAATTTGCTTGCACGTACGTGAGAGCTGAGAAGAGATTTTCATAGAAATCTGTAAGTGATCAAAAAATTAGATGGATAAACACTATATTATATACTCTTGAACAAGGATTGGTCTGAAAGAGACTTCTTATCTTATCGTACATGGTTACTTCAACAAAATGAGACAAAAGCAATACTTATTATCTCAAGTTCGAAGATAAATAGACTTGTAATCATTTACCCTCTCCGTTATTCTTCTTCACAAAGCTAAATGCACTTTTCCACGAGAATAAAGGAAAGTGAAAGATAAGGAATCCTGGAGTCACCTCCAACTTCTATAAGATAAAAAGAACATGTGGAAATAATTCAAGAGTGGAAGCACCTTATAGTATTTGAGAACACTGAATGAATAAACAACTAAACAAGTTCATTCCAATCCCTCCTTATCTATAATTGTGATTCAACCTAAACCATGTCATCTCTCTTCATTTTTTTAATCAAGAACCCATTTCCTAGTATGTAAAAGAAGGAAAAGGTGGGGAAATTGGTTCTAATATCATTATCATTTATGAATTAATTACAAAAACCCTTTTGTCAAATTAAACGTAGAATCAGCTTCAAAATCCTGAGTGAAAGAGATGGATAACTTAACCCAATATATTCGGTTTAGCTTCCAGAAATCAAAAACCAAAGTTCCAACACTTACTATATGCTGTGGCTTGTTGAATTATACATAAATTATTAACCACAAAGGGATGGAATAAATTAATTATTAATAAGTATATATTAAAACCACACGCACGTCTATACATTCAAATATTAATAGGTTGCGGAGTTAATTAGTAGGAAAAATAATTGGTGAAAATAATATTATTATTACTACAACTACTAATCATAATAGTTATAATTATTATTGTGATGAGAACACAAAAGCAAAGGAGAGCACAAGAGCATTATAAGTTATTATTACACACTATAAACACGCCGTCGTGAAAGGTTGCTGCGGTGGAAGCTCAACCTCCGGCAACACCGTGATGTCGCCGTAGGAAGTCCACCACTTGCTGTTCATGAGCTCCGGCAGCTCTATCTCGCCCCAAAAATCGTCGCCGTCGCCGTCGGAAGCAATGCTGCTCTTCTCCGGCGAGGAAGAGGCGGCGACCTTGACCATCATCATGTGCGCCGCCTTGGCCGCGGCGGCTTGAATATCTCTGGCCGTGCAGGCTGACGGCGGCGGGAGCGGTGGCAAGTGGTGCACCTCGTCGGGAAAGTTGAGCTGCGCCTTGCGGCCTTTGAGGCAGTAGGCGGCGACGTCGTAGGCTTTCGCCGCCATCTCCGGCGCAGGAAAGGAGCCGAGCCATATGCGCGACTTCTTACGCGGCTCCCGAATTTCGGAGACCCATTTACCCCAGCGGCGCTTACGCACGCCGCGGAAGAGGGGGTGGCGCGTGCCGCCGCGTGTAGCTGCGGGCTTATCGGCGGAGCTTGTGGTAGCGGTTGAGTCGTCTTCGGCGGCGCTCTGTGGCTGTTGCTCCATTCAGAATTTTTACATCAGCAACGGCTTTTGTCTCTGCGATTATCTTCTGCTTTTATAAATAAGCATTTACAGGCGAGCGCAGGTGTAATTACTAAAATACCCCTGTAGAGATAGAGAGAGAGAGAAACTAAAGTTACTCATTCTATTTTTCTACGTAAAGGACCAGCATGCAATTAAAGAAGATGATGGCATTGGTCCTTCACATTTACACCATCACAACGCGCAGCACTACCACAAGTTTTTATGCCATATATCAGTGCTTGGGTTATGTTTAAATAATTAATCACAATACTTTTTTATTTTAAATCTTAATATTAATTCTATTTTTAAATCTTTAATATAATAAATGTTTTATGTTGATCTTTGGGAACACTAAAATTCACCGTGGTTAAAAAAATTCCCAGCATGAAATTTTGATTCTCAAATGGACACACTTAAAGATATGATTGTTGCAACCAAATTTGACTGTTGTGTCATTTAATTTTGCTAATGCATCATATATTTTATTGTATAAGAGGCAAGTGAGAATATGAAAGGAGTTAACAATAATTAAACATGAATAATAGTGAGACAAATATATTTAATTTTGACTTTTTATATATGTTTGTATTATAAAAAATAGATTGTTACACCCTTACTTGGTACTGCGTGTGTTAACTTGTCCAATGCCAATTATTATCCAATGATTTGTCTAAAAGTAATTGTAGAATTGTAGAATTGTAAAAATGGTTCGTAATCTTGGCTCAAAATGAAAGCATCAATTTTATCCATAATCATGGCTTAAATATATCCACATTAAGTAACTACTTTTCTCTTTCTTCCTTTTATAGTGAACATAGACTATCAAACCAGCCTTGAAAAACACAACATCAAACTCACGGGTGATAGTTTTGGAGAAGACACCTGAAAAGTTTGAAATAAACACCCAATAACCCATTTAACTTAAACTTGAAGCGACATAACACTTTCCAAAATAAAGTAAGGGTCGATTATTTTAACTTAAACCAAGACACTAGACCAGCAAATTAAATAAATTGAAAACTCACAGCACAATCATGAGTGATGAAATGTGATTTGGAATTGTCACTTTCCTCCGGTCAAACATTGAAATGAAAATTAATTGAAGAAATATAGATGAATAAGGGTGAAAATTGGAAAGGCAAAAACCAAAAGAGAAAGGAACAATCTCCTCCAATGATTTAGACATTTTAACAAGTAGGTTGCGAGTTGTAATGACAAAGAAACGTGAATTTCGAAACTAGGGGAAACAAAATTGGACCCCGGAGTGATAATGAACCAGGGCGTGAGACCCACACCAACAAGCGGCGCGTGGTGAACCCCACAAAATTTATCACCACTGTCTCAAAGGGTGAAGGCCTCAAAGGAAAGAGGTAGTAGACAAATCATGGACAATGGTGGCACGAGAATGACCAAAGTGCCATTTGAGGGAAGCCACTTTTCTTACTTGGTTGCACGAGATTAGGGTGAGTGAGTGTTGTTCCCTTTTTCTGCTTCAATTTATTTTGGGCATTTGGTGGGTGGGGTGGACTTTTTGTTGCCCATGGAGATTGATGGGTTTGATATAGACAAACAAAAACAAAAAAGCCCATGTGTCGTTGTTGTTGCCTAATGTCATCTAGTTGGCCAATTAGCTTTTGAGCATGGGGATACAGAATTTGAAAACGATCGCTATTTTATGGATCCCATTAGCCATCTTATCTCTTTCTATTTATATTTTTCATCCAATGATTATTTTTTATTTTCACACCCACACATTATGCTACCAACACTTCTCCACTGTGCTTTAATTTGGTTATACGTAGCAACAAATAAAGCTTTATTGATTGTATATTCGTTAATTGAAAAGTTTTAAAAGACTAAGCTTATATATTAAGGTTTTTGTTATCATCAGTTTTTAGAGTTTAGTTTAAACATTTATAATATTAAAATGATTATTAGTTGGGCTAAATATAGCAAAAGTCATATTTTAAACACCCAAATTATTTTTCGACACGTACATGTGTTTGATCTTAACAATGTTGGGGTAGATCATAGATAACCAAGAAAATCTGGATCCATGCGTGCAGTACGAACGTTTATTGGGAAAAAGACTTCCGAATTTGTCATATCTAATTTTGGAATTGTGGGCACGCTTTCAACTGTATCTCAGTAATTATAGTGAATCCAAACCAAATTCACCCGAAAAAAATAAAACATATAAATACGATTTTCCTATCTGCTTTTTTAATGATTTAAAAACTGGTGTTTATTAGGGTGCTTATAACTTTTTAAGATTTAAATAACAATTATTTCACATGAAAAGGTATAAAATATTCTTTTAATTTACAAAAACTGCATAAATTACCTTAAAAATTTCCCTACAAAAACTGAAGCCACTGGCTCAGATCGGATATCTTATGTACTTTAATAAAGTAGTGAAAGATAGGATAACGTGCTCAAGAACTGTGTGTGCAGTGTAGTTTGACAAATAACAAGAGTTGTGCGTGTACTTGCCACTGTGTTTTCTATTTATTAAAATTATTCTTTTCATAATTCTGACAGATGCCCAGTACGTAGGAGAGACGTTGTAACCAATTGTTCATTCTTACTTTGCGACAACCTCTTCAATATCAAATAATGATATTCAACTGCACATTTCATTTTCCATCTCAATCTATTACGATTACGTTTTCTTCTAACGTATACAGTCTTTCTTAGCATTGCAAATAAGCTTAACATAAGAAATGGTCTTATTCGTATTTTTAATTAATGTAAAATATTTTAAAGCTTTCTTCTTACATTTAGAATTAGACATCCGTACATAAAGTTTATTAATTTAAATGTTTGCAGATGACCCAATTTTTAAGATTAAGTAAGCTCTTATATCGTATTAAAAATAATAATGTTTAAATGATAAGAGAATAGTTATTATCTAATTTAAATGTTGAGCAACTGGTAAATGATTAATTTTATAAATTTCACGTATCAAGTGTAAATGAGAGAAAGTGTGTTAAGAGGCCATTCATCTATTAGGAAGCTAGCCAGAATATTCTTCATACGGTATAAACAATTTTCTTCTAAATTAAGTTAATATTAAGATAAGCTCGGTGCACAGTTTTGAAAATGGATTAAGCTTAATTTGTTAATATTAAGATAACCCGTATTATTTACAAATACAATCAAAATATTTTTTTCAAAGTTACGACACTTTTTTCTCTTTTAAACTAAGTTTTAAATTCTGAGCTAGATTTTGGAACGAATCGGGTCCTCAGTTGGCATCATTTGAAATATCCACAAGTTGCCTGCAGTTGCCATTTATGTCAGATACTGTGAAAGAAAGGATAAAACTTAAAGAATAAAAATACTCAACGCATGGTCTTAATCATCTATGTTTTGAAGTGAATGGATTCTAGATTGTACGATAAAGAAGATGAAAGAAAATAAGTAACTGCGTGTTTATTATGCATTACACAGTTATAATTTTTTAAAAAATAACGTTAATGGGCAATACACAATTTTAGAGCTTGAGGAACAAAATTTATAAATAAATAAAAATATATTGAAAAGTGTTTTTGCTTTATCTGCTAAGATCAATGTGTGTAATGAATATCAACTTTAATCCTAGTTATGAGATATTTTTATTGAGTTTGAAATCCTACCCGACATGTAAAACCCACTCACATGAAAGTGAGTTTGTCATATTTGAATGACTGGTTTATATAATAAAAAACATGCCTCCACTAAAATGAATCTTTACAAAAGCAAAGTGACAACACAGACTATTATTTGTTGATGAGGGGCGAAACATCTTAGGCTTTATATAGGTGATATTATCTTATCTTTATTCATCACATACAACTATATACACAAAGAAGATGATATAATAGAGTACTAGTGGAAGAGCATAGGGTTCGACTAGGGACAATTTGCTGCTGACTGAAAACAAACCCTCCAAAGAAGTTTTTCTTTTAATGTTAATTAAATAATTCTACATATTTTTCATTTATTTTCTTTAAGTGTTGAGAGATGAATTTAACGAATTCTAGTTCCACATAAGTCCATTCGTCTCAACTTAAACTATTATTTAAATCTAAAAAAATACGTGTTTCTAATTTAGTTGTAATTTAGGGAGATTGTTTCACAATTTTAATGTGAGAATAATAAAAATAAAATGAGTAAGTTTAGATGGACCTAGCTTTATTGATTGATGTGTATATGTTTCATTGTATTCTTTAATATTATCGTTTTCGGGCAATTACTGTCATATTTCTTATGAACCTTGATTTGTATCATTGATTCAATGAAATGAAAATCACATTGGATCCTCCCCCTCCCCAACAAAAAATTCAATTATATTTAAAAGATAGAACGTATGATTATACCCTGGAAATATATATATTATCTACAAATATATGTTTTTAATATTAAATTTCGAATTAGATGCACACAGTGCCAACCCAAAAAAAAAAAGAAGAGAAATAGCCAAGTTTGTGTTAGTTGCCTGTGCCCAAATGATTAACGAAAAGGAGTGGCCCACACCACACCAAGGTCGACGTGAAACATTGTTATTTTGTGATTTGAAAATTTGACAATTCCACACTGCACAGTACTTGTTTGCTTGGGTATTTAAAGAAGAGTTGGTACCAATGTTATTAATACAAGGACTTGTCACTGGTTTCTCATTTCACATTTTATTCAAATGAAGAAAAACAAGGAAGACTCATAACAAACTTTATATAAAAGAGAATGACCATTAAAGAAATTACGTAATTGAAAAAGGGATCTCAACTTATTTTTATATAAAGATAATTTATCTTCAAGTTAGATAGAATTACGGTAAAGTAAAACTCTACTTTCAATTTTTTTATTATCATGTAAAATCAATAAATAATTTATTTTTTTTATAACCTCATTCTTAATAATAAATGTATGTTTAGTAAATAATAAATGAGTGAGATATTAATTCGGCATGATAAATAAAAAAAATATAGTATAATAATAATAAATAATAGTTTTAATAAAAATTAAAATATAAATATTTTTAAAAATATTATGCACAAATCTTAAACGTTAAGAGAAAGGAAAAAACAGAACAAGTAATAAACATGAACCTTACCCCTCAAATAATTGACTATTTTGACTTAGTAAAAA